CTACCTCTCCACCATCCCCTTCATCGTCTGCACCTACCTGGCCCAGGACTGGTACTTCGGGGACCTGGGGTGCCGCATACTGCTCAGCCTGGACCTGCTCACCATGCACGCCAGCATCTTCACCCTCACCCTCATGTGCACCGAGCGCTACCTGGCCGTCACCCGGCCCCTGGACACTCTGAAACGGTCCCATGGCTACCGGAAGGGGGTCTGGTCGGTCTCACTGCTCCTTACTCTGCCCATGATGCTGATGGTCACCCTGACCGAGGGGGGCAAGGCGGAGGGCAAGGTGAAGAGGATGTGCGCGCCCACCTGGAGCGTGGACGCCTACCGGACCTACCTGACGGTGCTCTTCAGCACCAGCATCATGGCCCCGGGAATCATCATTGGCTTCCTCTACACACGTCTGGCCAGGACCTACCTGGAGTCCCAGAGGAACCCCCCCCACAAGGAGAAGAGCAAGAGATCCCCCCGGCAGAAGGTCCTCATCATGATTTTCAGCATCGTGCTGGTCTTCTGGGCCTGCTTCCTGCCATTTTGGATCTGGCAACTGGTGCGACTCTACAGCAGCTCCCTGCAGCTCACCACCCAAACCCAAAAGTGCATTAACTACCTGGTGACCTGCCTGACCTACAGCAACAGCTGCATCAACCCTTTCCTCTACACCCTGCTCACCAAAAACTACCGGGAATACCTGCGCAACAGGCACCGCAACTTCTACAGGTTCACATCCTCCTTTCGCAAGAGGGGCTCCAACCTGCAGTGCTCCTGGGGACGGTCCATGTCCTCCAGCAACCAGTATGACTACAGCTCGGAGGCCCTGGGCATGGCCACGCTGAAGGACAAGTGAGGAAGAGGAGGCGCTTTGGAGACACCAGGACCAGCAGAGCGTCTGGCCAAGGTAGGGCTTTGGGACCCCTTAGCCCTGCAGGGTCCAAAAAACTCATTTCTGGTGGTCACTCTAGTTCAGGGCAAAGAAGTTGCGTGAACCCAAGTACTGTGAGATGTGTTTGAATTTCCACCTGATTTAGGGCTGTCAGGGGGGTTCTGCTGGGAGCCAGCAACCATTCAGGGCAAATCCTTCTGGGTTTTGGGTGCAGAAGATGAGGTGGATACTTTGTTCAGTTCTGCTGCAAACTCTTTCCACGCTTTGCTGAGTTTTGCCCAGCTCCAGCTCGGCACCGTTTCTCCTGTGTGGTTTCTCAGTGCTATCCTCAGGCTACAGGTGGGTCAGAACCACAAAAGTCTGAAATTGTCCTGCTATTGTATAATTTAGCTGCAAGCCTTGGGTTTGCCCTATATATTACTGTTATATTTTTCTAGAGTGTGTAAAGAGACTTTAAAGCCCCTTTTCCTATTTCCTGGTACATTATAATGCACCACAGTTTCATCAAGCTTAAAGTCTCTATTTTAAAATTCATTGCAGCAGCACTTCAAACTCCAAGCATTCAAAAACCACAAGGTAAGCTGTCAGAAACCACAGGATTACCTAAAAAAACCCTTGTAATTTTTTAAGGTTTCTACCTAAGGTGATTTGAATTTGCCACTGATTTTCTTTTTTAAAGTGGGTCCCTTTCTCAACAGTCAACAGGGCTTGAAAAAACAAAAATTTACCTTGGAAAGAAAGAAAGAGTCTTGTAATCCTATCACTCAAATAGCTGAGGCTCTAAGAAAAATGATTGAATCCTATATCATGACACTCATCATAAAAGGGACAAATTTATTCATGACATTTCACCAGAGCATTTTGCCTCAATGTGTTCTGCTCATTTTCTCACTGTTTAGTGTTTTGGAGTAAACCTTCACCACAGATACTAGAGATGCCTGTAAGCATCTAAACAATTGTAAAACCTCAGTTTATAAAATAAACAGTGATTAAAAAGTGGACCATGATCTGATTTCCCCTCACCTGGTCTCTTCACCCAGCTCAGGGGGGTGTATTTACCAGGGGAGAGGCTGCCATTCCCAGCTGTTCTCTGAAGAGTTCATGTACATGGGGATGAAGTTGGGTTCAACATTCCTCTTTCTCATTCTGGGACAGACTCTGGGGATAAGTAAAGCATGGTATGAGTTGCATAAACAATTGCCAGCAGCTAGTGATGCCCAGGGACTTCTGAAACAACAGGCAGTTGCTTAAAGAACAGTCATTTCCACTTTCTTAGGGTATACTCCGACCCCATCTGCTTGAGAGGAGTCCCGCTCCAGCCCTGCAGTGTTACTGGGTTCATGTGTCCTTGGGTCATCCTCTCATGTCACACACCAAACTTGAGGTGTTTGTGCTAAAGCAGAGACACAAAATGCTGACACCGCAGCCGGGGATTGGGAGCAGAGGACACAGCACAGCAACATGCTGGACTGCATGCACTCAACTCAGAGCAGAAAGTAAACCCTTCAGGGCACATGTTGGATGAAGACCAGGGAAGCACGTTCCTGTGCTGGGAGTCAGGCATTCTTATAGATGCAGTTACTGAGGTGCTTTTCAGGGAAAGGGAAATTATTAACTCACCTTAGAATCACTTGTATTGCTTTGAACCATGAGACAGTCTTCAAAACACTGGTCATCACTTTGTCATGTTCCAGTATCATGTAGGCTGCCAAGCTGGGCAGTTCAAATAAACCTAATGGTGCCCATTTCCCTAGGAAACAGGGCGACTCACACAGAGGGAATTCACGTTGGGAATTGGCAGGGAGAGTGGGCTTCAACAGTTTTGAGGAACAACTTTTCAGGAACTAATTCATTTTTAAATTATGAATTCTGAAGTCATTGTTACTTTTCCTTTGCTTACCATTTCCAAGACTGGAAGTCACTCCCATGTAAGAATAACAAAGATAAAACTTAACTCAAAAGGTGGTGTGGGAAGGCTGGAGCGCGTGCGTCATCTGCAAGGTGTGCTGCACCATTTAATGCTACAGCTGGACAGATGTCCTTTCAGAGCCCAGCATGGCTGCGTCCCTTCCAGGCGTTGCACTTACCATTTGCCCACCTTTAAGCAAAAAAAAATATATTTCTTTATGGCTATAGAAGGAAAAGCCCACCTTGATTTGGATCCTGACCTGACACTGTACCATCGTGTCTTGATTTCCATTGCTTGGCCTGAGGAGAAGTGGCCTTGGAAGGCCACTTACCCACCACAGTGTTACAAGGCTGCTCTAAGGTGGATGATTACCATGTATGAAATAGTTGCAAGGCATAGTGTGTATCTGTTAACAGGTGCGTAAGGGGAAGCAGGTGATGGAAGACCTGCATAGGTATCAAAAATAGTATTAGGGAAGACACTTTCTGCTTTAAAAAAACCCAACGTCTTAAAACATCTAAAGCCAAACAACCTAAAAACATAAGTTATTAATAAGAAGGGGAAGCTAAAAAGGGATGAAAATGCAGAGCGGATGAGATTACGCGCATAACCTAATGTGAGGGTAAGCACACAGAAGGCTTTGATTTGGGGTACACTTCCCAAGATGTCCCATCAGTCCCCAGAAGGGATTCTGCTACTTTACTCAGCACCATGAACGGTGCGTAGGGAATGTGCTTTCTGTACCACATCGTCAGAGCATTAAACATCAACAGGTTGATGGAGCAGCGTCCAGATGAAAGGCGAAATATTGGATATTTGTCGCGTACTGGGTTTTTCAACCAGCATGTGCTTCAGCCCAGTCCCATCCCCGCGCTGTTCCTCTCTCCCACCAGCCTCTGATGAACCCGTACAAGGTTACTCTAACCAGAGAACCAGTAAATCTGATGACGTCCACAAAGCATGTCACTGGGGCAGAGGAGAGCCTGTTGAACATGCAAAACTGGCCAGCAATCAGGAGATGCTGCTGTGTGTGATGAACGACTCTTCAGCAGCGCAGGAAGCACGACATGGTGTAGACCTTTGCCAACGTGACTCCTCGGGAGCCTCTCATACTCCCAGGGATCAGAGCTCAATTTACAAGATGAATTACATAAACAACATCCCTCTCATTTGTCCCATCGGACCAGTTAAACTGCCAAAAGCCAGTAGGTTTGACCCGCTTCATAAATATCCCACAAGAGCAGATGTTTTAACTGAGTTCCTTGTGTCTGTAGTTGGGTAAGCCTGGACTCTTCTGGGTGTGCTTAGGTTTTGGAAATGAGGAGACAGTCTTCACGTATCTTCCTTTAACAACAAAACCAAACTAATCTGGCAGGCAGCTTTGGAAGGGGATTGCTGCTGCCTGTCTGTAGCACAGAGTCCTCTCTGGGGCTGGCACAACCTTTAAGTTACCCGCAAGGGGTAGCTGTGTCGGCAGCTGATGCATTTTGAGGAGGGTGTTGGTTTGGGTTTGGTAGGATCTCAGAATTCATAAGCACATGTCCCTGTGGGCAGGCCACGCAAAACTGCTGGGAAGCAGCTCTGGCTATTTGCTACGTGAGGGAAGGGGTTACCTGTCCTCAACACTACAAGGGATGAGTCAGGACTCCCAAAATCATGAGATTAAAACCACACCTTTTATCCACAATCACAGAGGCTGCAAAACTGTATGAAAATTGAGATAGAGACATAACCAGACTCCAGATAATGGGACTTCGCAAACTCTACATATCTTGTCCCTTATGGTAAATCTGAAGCATCTCAGGCCAGAGCTGAAGTACCAACAGGAGAGTCAGTCAGGCTGTAACTGAGCAAAATGTGGTGATCTCCCTGAAAACAATTTTACTTTGGCTATTCTCCTACATTCCAAGAATGCAAGCAATGTGTTCCCTGAAATCATTTATCATACCCAGATCATTGTAATCCTGTGGGTTTTAATGTAATTTTTAAAAATATTATTATAAATTAAATCTTGCAGAAGGTTTAGTGACACAGCTAGTTCTTCAGCAAAATGGGAAATGGCAGTTTTAAAGAAGGCAACAGCATTTTTGTTGTTGCAGGAGAGGTTGTCACTGCAAAACTCCATACGTGCTTTACAAGAAAGAAAATAGTTTTATCACTAGAAAATCTTTTCCAACAGCCCTTAGGGTTTTAGGTATTTATGACAAAAAAAAACCCCAAACCCAGACTGTGAAAGAAATGCAATTTCATCCTGAGTGTTCTTTCTTGCCTTCAGTCTAAGGTAGTAGCTACTGCAGCGATGGCAATTTTTCTGCTTTCACTCAAAAAGAGGATACACCAGTCCTTGGTGGGACAAGTGAGAATGGTTGTTTTCCCCAGACACAGGAGAGTCCATTTGAACCTTACAGAATTTTTGCAGACTTCACCTACACTTACACATTTTTTTTTTTATCATCTTTCTCCTCACTTTTTAAAAACCAAATAATAAATGCAATAAATGCTCAGAAGCTCCACAGTACAATTTAATCATGCAAGCAAATCATGGATGATTTAACTCTTATTTTAGCTGTCATTTTTGGTGCTTAGTATGTGATTGAATACCACGGAAGCCAGAGAAATAGAGGTGATTTTCTGAGCACTCTGTACCTGGCGTGGTACAAAATGCACGGCTCGCTGCCCAGTTGCATTCACTGAAGAGATGAGGTAGGATGACAAAATTCATAATCGGTTCCCCCATCAGCATGATGAGAGGAGAAAATGCATAAACCTCATATCTGAGCCCAGCCCTCAAGCCATGGGAGCAGGTAACTCAGCACCTGAGACATCCTCAAGGCAGCCCCAGAAAGTCAGACGTCTCTGCCGGAAAGTTTGGCCGGTTTGGAGATGTTCAGCTCTCACCATCGATTTCTGAGTCCCTCTGGTGGCAGCAGCAATCTTCCAGCCTGAGGTCTCGGGAAAAAAAATTAAAACTGGGTTTTAGTTTAGGCTTTAAAACATGGTGGTTGCACACACTCAGGGCACAACCTAACTAAATAATAATAATAATAATAATAAAATATCTTTCAAGTATCATGTTACTACAATACCTGAAGAGGAAAAAGTCTGTT